CTTTTATGGATTCAAAATGTGTTTTTTTTAGTATGTTGGCTTGTATTTTAATGTTATGTGTTATTAGTGAAATGCACTTAACACATGTTGCACTGAATCCCGCTCCTTCACAAAAAAATAGGCGTGTATATTTTATGAATGTTTTCCTCTCAGCCCAGATTCTATGTTTAAAATTACCAGTGTGTATAAAATACACGTCGTAGTGTTTTACTTAATACTGGATCTAACATGTAGTCACTGTAAACCAGTCCTAGATGTACAGCTTCCAAACAGCACGCCATCCAACTCATGTTAAAACTACCTAAAGTAGGCTTTTGATATTTTTCCAAAATGCATATCCAATGAAACAACAAATATTATGCACGTGAGTATATATCTCGAGAGAAACATCTTGACATCTATATACTATTTATTTCCCTTGAAGAATTTACTTCCACATCAAACACAAAAGCAATGTTGGGATGATTTTTATATAAATAATATATAATCTAATTTAAACTGCAAACAGCAAATGAAAGTATACACTTGAAAATTTGATTCGACCAAAATATCATGAACGTTGTGGAAACGTTGCTAGGATGAAAACTGTCCCAGAAACAATGCAAACTTAAGAGTCCAGAGACAACCATTCTCATACATCGCAATCCAAAAACATTTTCTTGTTCGTTTCATTTTAGCCACTTTCACACAGGTGCTCTGAAGTATCATCAAGCCATTTTATTATAATGCCCTTAAAATTACATGTACTTTCAGTTTATTATCCGTATTGATATTGGCTAAATATTATTACACCAGACATAACGGATTCCCCTAAAATAGCATGATAAATGAAACGCGTTATCATTAGTTTAAGCTTGATGAGCCATAAGCAAAATAAATAAGGTACCGCCAAATGGTACCAAATTTTCCATTTTATTCTACAAAATTTATATGTGGAGGGAATTCCAAAACATCTTGTTTGTGCTGCTATGATGCTGACGGTAATTGTAATCACAAAAACTAAAACACATCGAACACGTGGTATGTATTCTTTGGATGTGTCTGTGAATGGTCATTTATATACCGTTGTATATGTCAAGGTTGGATTGCATGTATCGTAATTGCCCGGTTGACTTTCTGGATAAGACCAGTCACATACATATTTCTAACATGGACATATTTGTTTATGACCCTAATGTCCGACCCCTCAAACCTTGCCTGTTACAGCAATAACAGCAACTACACCAGCAGACTCAGAGGTAGGTTTGTAGCATGCACCTCATTACTTATAACTGTTTATCAATGTTATCTTTACATCAGCTATTGTGTATTATCTCCATATGTTCTGAATTATATCCTGGAGGGGTAGACGGAATTGCATCGCGCCATCACATCACCATAAAAACCAACTACTTTTTGACATCTTATGCAATTGAGGTATTATCGTATGTAGCATAAAACGTAGAAGTAAGAGAATACCAAGTCTCGATTACCTGCAGAAACTTATTCCACTATGCGTAAAATGCAAAATAGTCGTGAATGTATGTGAGTGGTTCAGCGTACGTCACAGTACATATTCACCTACACGTCATCGTGCACGGTATGTGACTGGTTCAGTGTACGTCACAGTACATACTCACCTACACGTCATCGTGCACGGTATGTGGTGAACATACAAACTCAGAAGAATTATTAAACCATATATTGAATCTAGTGGTCAGAAAATAAAATAAAAAATATTTTAAAACCTGGGGGTCTTTTAACAAATATGGATTGAAAACATGTCGTTTTGGAGAAAGAAGATAATTCATGTTGTGAAACTAAATATAGTAAATATATATCACGCTTCCTTCACTGAATTCGATCCGCCTATGACAAGGATACAGGTGTGAAAAAGATAAAACATGTGTTGTTTAATTAGTACCCTCCTGTTATACATTCTTTACCTTGGATCGCATAAAAAGAGATTTATACCGTTATTTGTCAGGGAAAATAATATTCAACCATATTAGGATCCATAAATATGTTTTACATTGTTACCTGTGTATAATGATTAACTATAGGAGTGTATAGCGCTCTGGCACGTGGAGGAGCATGAAGTCTGACCAATCTGATAAATTAGTGGATATCAATATCATACGTTCTCGGTATTTTAAGAGTTTGAACATATTGTTAAATAAATATTGCTGTTACTTAATAAAATTGTGAATATCTATATTTTGAGGTTTTGGCCTAGCGTGTGACTGGTTTGTAGTGTACATCTATGTAATGGTGCTATCGAACCCTGCCCATGTCACTCTGTCCTGCGTGTAATTTTACTGTTGCTCATTAGTTACATTAGCTTCCACATCATCATCTTAATTATCAGCAAGTGTTTTGCTGTCAGGAAAATGTTTCAAATTCCAGACTCTTTACAATGTATTCCATTTGTTCCACCGGTAACGCTCAACATAAAACATGATTTATCACATTTTACCTACATTTACGTATATGTTATGTTTAAACTTAAATATGGAAATACATAATAATGGCTCAAATCAGGTCATCTATTTTACAGTTAAACGAAATGTAGGAATATATGATGTGTCATTTCTGACAAGACGCGTTATCATATTATGCAAGTCTGATTATGTTTGTAGTCTGGTTTATGTTTCTTTGTGTTTGTAATACACGCCTTTCCGTCAATTGATAATTCTGCAAATGGAAAATACTGTAAGCAACAGCAGCCCTCAACACGTTTCTTTATGGGAGAAGACGGAGTGTGGATGCTCGTTACAGCGACACACACGGAGATCGAGACCGTGAATAGCGATCTCACTGACTCACTTCTACCCATTACGACATCAAAGTCGACTCGAATTTAATCAGTAAAATATCACCGAAGGCCCCTATCACCCCTCTGTCCTCCGCCTCCCCCAAAAGCTCGAGAAATATCCCCCAATTTAAATGCATGAGTTTCTCCTCAACCGCCTCAATTATGTTAAATTCGATGTAAAATTGAATTATCACATAGAAGAAGGGGGAGTGAACCGTAAGGTAGGGTGGGGGAGGGTGGGGTCCGCCTGATGAGCCACGTGCGGGTCTCTCAAACACAGAGAAATTTAATGGTGAATGGTTTGAAATAATTTAACAATGAAGTATTTTGAGACTGAAATTGGTGAATGAAAGACGGGAATCAATAGATAGTTATGCACTCAGTGACACTGCCTTGGAATGGAGTAGTGTGTACTTCGTGTATTTAGTATTGTACACATGTTAAGTATTGTGAGTAAATCATTATTAAGTTAGACTATGCACGAAATTGGCTACCTTTTGAGAAGTGTTTAGTGTTTGTGCACAAATTGTTCATGTCGTGAATTTCAATTTAGAAAATCTAAAAAAATTGTTCAATACAAATAAATAAATAATAAAAAAATAAAAATAAATAATATATAAATATCATACGTTCTACAAACTGAAGATATGTAAAATGCAAGGAACTTTAAAATTCCACCATGCTCCTCTGTGATAATTCAATAAAACAGAATTCCTAAAGGTACAAGCAAAGTTTGCCCTGCCTGCCTTATAATCAGTTTCAACTTCATTATTGCAATCATATTACTAATCTATCATTTTAACACTTCTTATCAGTTGTGATAACATCATGACAAAGCTGCGTTTTCTCAAATTCCAAAACGTTTAGAAGTCTCACAATATTTAACAATTGTATACTTTTCGTTTTGTTGGAGTGCAAAAAGTTGTAAATGTTAGCTTTCTGATACAAAACAGCGTAACAGATACAGCCCAAATATTGTGGCACATTCCCTGTGTGATTAGTTAACATAACACACCATTTCACAGCGGAGTCATCTGCTCACTAAGTGAATGTCAAAGTAGACTAGCTATGTACTGAAGAGGAGAGGTTAATTGCCAGTCGAAAATGTTATATATAGATACACTTATGATGGATGAAAAGGGCTTGATGCAATCGACATGACCACGTGACGTCCTCTCAGCCAATAAGAGAACGCCAACGGCAGGGCTATATCATACATAACATGTGGCTTATGATCCAAATTCCCTTTGATGTTGCCGCTCCTGCGCGGTTCAGATGCGCAGAACAGGAAGTTATAAAGTGTGGGACCGTAGTCACTCTTTGAAGATTTTATATATTTTTTTCATCGTTGCTGAATAGCTTGAGACACATATCAATAACTTGACACAGCACAGATGTTCAGTCGGTTTCAGCAGCCCGGAGCAGCATGAGATGAAATTGACAAAGTTTTGATAGAGTGTTGAGGGTAGTGTTGTGGGAGGGAAGGGGACGCAAGCTCCCCTCTCAGCAGGGGTGAGTTTTCTGTACGTGAAGAGACCCTCAACACTAAACAGCCACACTCGATTGTACTCAGAGGCACAGCCATCTATACAGAAAACATTTTGCAATTTTCAGACGGTGGAAATTTTCTATACATTGGTTGAAGGAGCCGTCAATTTAAGTACATTTTCTGACATTCCACAAACATTAGAACTGCTTGAATCAGAAGGATTTCTTGTAATAATTAATGATAAACACTTGATGAACAAAATGTACACACACTGATTGTAGAAAACTACAAGGTTCAAATACATTTTCATTTTGAATCGTTAAAACAAACGAATGAATTTGAAAGCGACACATAGACGGAATAATCCACGAACTAACAATAATTCTGTTCAAGTAGCCTGTTGTAGTACATGGGTTCACGACGACACGTCCTGCACAGAAAACATTTAACAAAGTAGTTGCGTGGAGTATTCTATGAACACAATGCCAACACATATCGCAACAACGGTTCGAATTTATTTCAAATGAATCCTCTCAAACTAGGTATGTAAATGTTTGCTCGACATAAATAATTCATAAAGGGTAATAGCACGGTATTGAAAATGCAATTCACTCATTTGCATATGAACAAGATTCATAGGTATATACTGTGTTATAACCTATATATCCAACAGTAAGATCCGTTCCCGAGATGGGAGAAAGACAAAGAAAGTGTACATATAGTCAATAAGAAATTTATTCATTATAATTTGTTATCAAAACGATAATACAGAAATACGTAAAATTTATGTAAAACAAAAACTAATTTAAAATGTAATTTATCGTTATCATTTCTTAAATCTTCTCGTATAAAAACACGGACAAAAAACTTACATTTTCTGAATTTCGATAAAATTAATTGTGAATCAATTAAGTAAAGCCAAATAAAATATTTTTGCCTAAATTGTTTTGAATTAATTCAGAATATTTAGAAAAGCACTCGAATATATACATATTTTAAATATTCTATGGAAATGAAAAATGATTTAAATAAACACACCTGTTCCTCCGTAATCTGTTGCTGAATATGGCTACCATTTTTGCCTTTGGTAACCTAGCTTTATGATATTTCAACAACAATCATACAGCTAGATAACCAAAGACATAAACAGAGCCTTCGTCTTGACCACAGTTTCCAGGAACTGGACATCCGTCGAAGTGATAAAGCAGGTGCCCGTGAGTGGGAGGCAGGTCCCTGAGGGTTGGGCCATGTTCCGGGGGGCAGCACGGTAAACTCCACTATGACCAAATGCAGGGTGTTATCTGGCGAGTGTTTTCGCATCACAGGTGAAATCACATGAGGACAAAAACACCGCGAGCAATAATCCAAGTAGGTCCAGCATTATGTGTGGTGTGTTGAGATATCCCGGCCCACAACCAATGTTGTCCAGTTGGGAGGAGACAATGGACTCAGGACTTAATGTTCTCGCCCGCTGTTCACCTCTCCGCTCACTTCTAACAGTCTCAACACAGAAAAAAGCCCCACCAGTTTATGAGAAATTTAGATTTGTTGAGTTAGTTGCCTTGGTAACTGGAGGACAGTCGGTATGTCCGGACGAATTGCACCTCATGCCTTGACGATATTGCTGACGTCCATCATCCTGGTCTCGTTCTCGCCCCATCTCATTTTCCTGTCCGCCCAGCATCCACCTGAAATAATAATGAAGAGAATTAATAAAATGCCTCACCTGTATCTGAAAGACAGAACTGACCAAGACAGAGCCTATCTACCGTCTCAGTCTGTACCAACACCAACAGCCCTAACACGGCATACAACATCGACGGCCGTCTGCCTCTTACCATACGTAGTCAGCTTGATCAAATTATTTCTGCCGTGATATGCTATCCAATACCAGCGGGTGACGAAACGCGCCGGCTCTGTCGGGTAAGTTAATTAAACACCATCCCAAGACTGTACAGTACCTAACGGTGACCAGAAGTGGACAGGGCACGTCCAGTCCCGGCGAGTTCCGTCTGTGTTCTAGTGCGGTCTCCCATGCTGCCTGGTGCTCTCAGGCCGGCGGACTGACGGAGCGAATCAGCTCTTCGCCTGCCAATATGTCGGACGATTCGCATCTAAGACCGATGACCTAAATATTAACACAAGCCACGCAAGAGTGAACAAGCTTTCATATCGACAAGCGCTTCACTCTCTCCCGTCAGCAACGCTTGACGAGAGTACGGGCGCGGCAAACTTGCTTCAAGATGGGTAGAGTGAAATGACATTCCCGCCAGAGATCGTCCAAGTATCTCACGATCAACAGTTTCATCGACTCTAATAGTCCTTTTCATTGTCACGGTATGGACTCGGCAGTCATATTTTCAATGAGAAAAAGGAAACCCGGTTTGAATCTGAGCCTTAATATGTTGCGGTGTTGATCTTGCACGCACGTGTTTCATGAATTAACGCAAATGAAAGCTATCGCCTTCCTATCCACACTTGATAGATCCCCCAGACCTGGGCCAGGCGGCCCGACCCTACACACGGGGTAGCACCCGTTCGCTCGTCCCTACACATCCCATAGCCAAGCGCTAATACGGGGAAGCCTCAGCTTTTGCAAATGAATAAAACGGAGTTTTCAAAAGCATATGGGAAATGTACGTAGGCGAAGGCAAGGGTGGCGCATGGGTGAACACATCATTTGCGTTGAAATGTAAAGGGACTTCACAGGGACGTGGATCGTCTTGCACTGAGTACAATCCTTCAACTAAATCTGAGCAGGAAATAGATAAAAAATAAACTGACAAAAACTGGCACGTCGATATTCTGTTCTCATCCCTAATAAGTGATAATCGCATTTCAGTATACTGAAAGTACATTGACTATGTTCTTGTTTATATAAAACATGGCCTTTAATTTCGGGACCTGTCTTGTCCCAATGAATGACTAAGTATTAGTAATGATGATGACATAATCCTCTCTATCACACCGTTGCCGATTCATCTCCTACCACTCCCTGTATTCCAAGCAGGACGGAGGAGGCAGGAGACGGCATCTTCTGTAGCCGCTGGGATACGTTACCGCGTCGGGGACATGTGGGAACATACTCAGTAATAGAAGCAGCAGACATGAAACATATTTTGAGGAGCTGTAGGGAAAAGATTTGCCCCACTAACCCCCCTCCTCCCCTACCCAAGCAGATGAATGACCGGACGGAACCACGACCTGGCGATTTCATTCACCACTTTCTATGGACCTTCTATAAAAGGAGTCCTGTGAACTTCACTGATCAAATTAAGAAGGACCATGGAATAGTGCTACTGTAAAGAACAGAATGGATGCGTGTATCTTAATCCACAAAAAATCCCCGAAAGACGATCCCTAATCACTAAATTGCACCTAATTATGAAAAGCTACTCATATTATAATATTTTGTTTCTTAATTTATCAAACACCGCCGAACGGCGACCTATGATTTTTTAATGTCTTAACTAAGAATACTTACTTATTATGATTTCTTTGTTCACTCAATTCAAATACAAACCAAGATATCGAGTTATCAGAGTTCGACACAACAGTGTTCGACTGTATGTTTTATTCAATTGTGAACACTCAGACAGTTCCACAAGCACACTTGGTAACCTCACGCCGTACAAGCATGTTTAAGGCCTATAGAATTAGACAGCCACTACAATCTGTACATGAATGGCAGCAATGTTGTACAGTGATTGAAGGTCGGTGGTTTTCTTAATAACATCTGTACAACCTGTCCTGGTTGCACAAGGACAAACTAATACACCTATTCCGGCAGTGTGTATCTACAAGCATGGAATGTTTGGGGTGCTCAGCTACCATCAATGTCTGGACACGTGTATGTCAATTACTGCTACAATATATACCCACGAGTACTGTCAATCACTGCTATAATATATACCCACGAGTACTGTCAATCAGTGATACTAATCTGGACACTGTCCCAAAATAATACAGCTGAAGGTAATTCAAATCCTTTCGACAAGGAACTGGATGAAAGCGAATTGTGTCAAGGGTTGTTCGACAATATTGCCCGACCATTGTATGGACACTTTTCATATGACACATAGCAATGTGGCTGAACAATCCCGAGAAAACCACCATTGAAAGTGTTTTGAACGGCCGATTGTCAACTAACGAGATATATATAGATGGAGGTGAAAAGGCTAGCCGACATAGGAAGGAGGGAATTGACTTATGACATAGACAGAGTTCGTGACACTGACTCGCTCGGCAAATACCACGTGGAGCAAATGTCATTTTCTGACACAAGCATTTTGTTACGACCTGTTTGATTGGCTGGTAATTTAGAACATTATCAATATGAGCCAATTATATCAGTGGTTGTAGTTTAACTCAAGAACAAAGAAGATGAAACATCGATGCTAGCATTGTTCCGACTGGATTTCATTGAGGGATGCATGGTCGAAATAACACGAAACGATGATAGTTCATTATCCAAAACACAAACATTTCATTCAACGATATAGTCATGAATTTTACAATCACCCATTGAGAACTTGCATGTTTTCGTAAGGAGTCCAAATGTTTTTTAAATATTAATTTTCATGCCCTATTTAAAGGTCATTTACTTGAGCGCTCTCTAACCCCCAGGAGTAATTATAAATATCCACACCCTTCAAGGAGATGACGGCAGTGTTGATATAATTGTGCATATCTAGATATTTAGTGCCGTAGGTCCAGTGCGCGTCTATAGCAAGTACTGGAAGTCGATAGTTACCGAAGGTGAAACATCACCAGCTGAACCTTCTGCGTAAGGTTATGCACCAAGTCTATGATAATTTGCAGGAATGTTTCAGTGCTCGAACAGCTATGCATTCAATATCGCAGGATAACGGGCTTTTCATGTGAACTTTATAACCCTCGTACGAACTGATATCGTTTAGAATTACGGCCAATAAAGAGGAGCCGTACACTAGCCTTACCAAATGACCTTTTAATATCGTGTAAAATTAATGAAAGATTATTTGATAACCCTTTTCCTAAACAACTGTTTACGATCCGTCGTAATAACTCAGTTTTTTTCACACTTATTGAGTGGCAAATTGCCCATATAATAAGCATATGCGTATGTACAGAGCTACAGCCCAGGTATCAAGTTACAAAACCACATTTAGAGTTACAATCCAGGAAAATTCTTGTCTGATTGCATACCATTAACAAGGAAGAACTGTCAAAATCACTGATGTTACCAGACTTAACTTGCACCAAATAAGCAAGCACCAATAGAACGGTAATCTTTTATTTCCATGGGAAGTTCGACCTTCTCGTTCAGTACATATCTCCGGAAGCTCCTACCACATGACAACCATGCACGGCACAGCCCCGTCTGTCAGCTAATAAACTACTTAGGTCGCTACAAATCTGCGTACAACAAATAACATCGAGAGTTTTGGTCGACTTGAAATCTCGTACGACCTCGCGGAAGCCATGTTATAAAGTACAAATCTCGCGGTTTCAATTGCTCAGCGGGACTGCAAGCAACAGACATACAAATTGGCATGCGCAGTGTGAAGGTAGGCAAACATGTCCGGTAGGGTCACACAGCTGTGCTTTACCTCACGCCGGTTGTCAACTGTCAGGTTCATACAAAATTACAACTGTAGCTGTTGCAGCTTAATAAAATAGTTCTAAATGGAGAACTCCAGATCCCAGATGTTGCCAGGTTGCCTCTATAGGCGGGTGTAGTTGTCTACTGTGCTGACAGATGATCAGAAAATATTGTCTTAAATAACATTCTTCATTAGATAATATCCAGTGCCGAATTCTATCCCTTAACATTTTGGAGTATTTTCACATGCCATCAATCAATTAAATATTTTGGCAAATAGCCACTAATATTTCACCAATATCATAATTACCTCTGTGGTAACACCATCGATTCAGAAGTTATGTTACTTTGCGATGCCAATTAACGTTTGAAATTAAATTTACAATATGAAAATGATGCTAGCAGATGCATTAGCTGATAGCATCTTTACACGGTCAATCTGAAGCAGTATAACAGAGACTGGCGACCATGAGAATATGATTTACACCGTCTTAATGTCCAAAGGCATTGCTGTTCCTCGACCCTCATCAGCTTTGAACTGACATGAGACGAGTTGGACGGGAGACTTGAGAACAGATTGAGCATTAATTCAGTCATAAGAACACTCCGGTATTTTGATAGCTCTGACAGTAATGGAGTTGTGTGCACGATGCTGCACCATAGATTGCATGTGCATGTGTCAACTGGGTGTGTGCAGATGTGGTGCACGTGAGAGAGGAGAAGGGGGATCAGCGTTGTTGCTTCCCCATCTCGTCCTTCTCTGTAGCATCACCCCACGGTAACTGGCAGTCATTATTTAAGACTGTCTTTAGTGGAAGGGGCACTGACTGCACCTTTGCTAGGGATCATAGGATAAAGACGCAGACATTCCTGGGGCGCTTTAACACATCTCACATCCTCCATGAGGCATCCAGGGGCTCCAACCTATCATAACAAACGTGTTTCAACCATTGCCGTAGCACTGGCCTATATACCAGCTTCTGGGTCTTTAAAAGGGTTTAGCGCATGTACAGTGCATTGGAAGTGAATTAGCAGTCTGCATATGTTAGTAGGATCATCAGTGGAAACATCTGAAGGCCATGTAACATTGTGATCCTGGAACACATACATCACGAGGAAGCACTTTCAAATATTGTATCGCTACTCATTCCAGCTTATACATTCAACCAATAATAATTTTAAACTGAAGGAAATACATTCCCATTATTACTTTCCAGGAAGAACCATTATAAACAGGTAACATTATATATGGTGTCTCTTGTATGCAGTACATTTATTCAGTAATTGTTACATATTTTAGTCATGGAAGTGGAGTAACCTTGCGATTTAAGCGTTCGATCGATTCCATACATGGATACAAAATGAGAAACAATATTTTGGTGTCTCTTTCCTTGATATTGTTAAATTATTTGTAAAGCCGCATACAATTATATGCACACACTCAATTACTTAAGCATATATATGTTTGGCTTACAAAATACTATACTATCAGTAACCAAACCACTGCATATTACCACTAGATTTAAGCTCGGTGTAAGTAGTGGTTCACAGGTTCCACGTAACACATAGGTGTCATCTGTACTTAACACGCGTGACAGATCTGATGCAACCAGTATGTAACGAAAGAAGGACCACTCCCAGCCACTCTCAACCGCTCCTCGATCCCCCTTCGTAACCGATCCAGCTACTTTAACAATAGCAGTTATTGCCATGAACACCCACTGTCAACGACAGAAGCTTCGCTATTAATACTTCTGTAATTACATCATTCTTTTACTGGAGCACTATTTTATTAATTTATGACAATACTCCTCCTAAAGCTTTTAGTCCAAATTGTACCGCAACTAGCCCCAGGCGATCCACCGATGGGATATTATGTCTTTTGGTGAACAACTGTTAAATCCCCCGAGCCTCGAGCCATATCTCCCCGACCCCTCCCGTCTCTATACACCGAAGACAACATTGTTTTTCCTTCATGTACTCTGGACAAGAACCAATAATTATCTCTTGACAAAATACAACCTTCGATGCTTATGTCACTATTCCATGTAATGATCGTTTAATGTAACACGCGTTTTGAACACATTTTATACACATATTAAAAGCAATGGTTACTTGTACTTCCAAACATAAACGTAGAATATATGTTTATTTAACAAGCTCCTAACGCTTAGTCATGATGCCAGCACTGTATGTATTTTGTAATGTGAGAGTTGAAGTCTTGTAATCACAGCACGGTAAGGTCTTATAACAGGCCATAAACAAAATATTGATGTCTGCATTCTGCCACAAGCCATTACATACCCGATGTATGAATAGGTTTTGACATTTCAGAAACTAGCTGACAAGTTGAGCTCACATTATCTCCTGGACTAAGATATATCACAATAACCTCCTTATTACTGCGATTCATACACACATTACTAGTTCAAGAAATCCTTTACACCGTGATCTAAGATTCAACACACCATAACAATGGAGCTACAAGACATTTGACACCGTATCGTGTCCTAAGGTCACCAGGTTCCCCCTGATTCACCCCCTCCCCACCCCGAAGTCACCATTCGATGTGTATAAGGGTGGGTACACAGCATTAAAGACTGAGCTGGGGTACTGTGGTGTCGGGGAACACAGAACTGGGACTTCAGGCGATACTGAGACAGACTGTACCTACTGTGCCACACGTGTGTCAACTACCAGGCAATGGTGTATTGTGTCCTCGGCGATCTCTCTTTTATGTCGCTCATTAATTACCACAAGTATAAAGCGAGCACTCGTCGGCACATAAACTCCGGATTGCGGGAGATAAAATATCCATCTCACCGCATATGTGAGGGAGCTTTACACCATCTTGTAGGCGGGTTCGTTTTGTACAAATGGCTCATGTGGGTGGAATCGACCTCTGATGACCTTTACCTTTAACCTGTCACCTGTCTCCTTTGATCTTACCGACAATGCCATTGATTACAGGTGAACTGTGCATGAATAGATTGCATATATAAAAGAAGATATGTGGAATATGTGACTGCGCGGGAAATGACGCTAACAGACGAATGATCGTTTGGTCGAATTTTACATAACACTCTCTAAGATATGTTCAGATCTTTCATGCATTCTCCACACAACTGCACAATGTGTAATTGAATGAACTGACGTATATTCCTACTTGCTACAAAGCTCAATACGTTTACGTAACACCGCGTTTAGATAGAATAATTTATGTCAATTTCATAAGAGCACAGCCAGTACTCTGTTAACAGAAACGTACGGCTTTGACCGCTTAGTGGGAAATTACTGAAAGATAATTGCAAATGTCTAACGAATGCTTACATTCCAGTGGTTCAGTACAATGTGGCGGAGACTTGCGCCCATGGATTCAGTGTTGCTTGGAAATAGTCGCTCTGCCATACCCCGGATCGGGATACATAAATCCACCAATCAGAGATGAGAATTTCATTAGCGCCGAATAATTACGTGATGCACCAATGCATAATTTTAATACATTATATTTAGCCGTCGCCTGTTGGAGCATATATCAACATGTCTTTATGGGGTGTATAGATTGGTATTGCCGAAGCAGAGAAGACATCAAGTATTCAACAAGTTCCCAAGCTGTCTTTTGTGGCAATTCAAATCTCAATCTTTGTGTTGAACCGAGGGGCACCGGCGAAGCATTCAAGGGTCGATTCGAAGCGAATATAATTCTCAATACTACATGGGGTAATTTAGTGAAGATTTTGTGGCGCATTCAAAGAATAGCTGATAGCTCATAGCGTCTTGTGTGCTTGTCAAAACTCTTTTACATTGGTTTGAAAGACAACTTTCCATCTCCCACTTATCCAGGCAAACTCCGTAAAGACGATAGCAAGCGCCCCAAACAGACAATCTTGCAGGCGCCATTGATACGAGTCAGTGTGGGCGTATCCCAAGCGAGGCAAACACTACTTGAATAACTCATTGTTTCAGATGGGAATATCACTTATTCCCAAGTTTATATTTTATCTAAATCGACATAAACAGGGCATATTGTACGGTTCATGTTGACGGTGAAATACATTTTGTTGACATCTAACATTTGATGGGTCCAAAAGAATTGAATAAACTATTTGGTTCAACAGAAAATATACTCATATAGATATACAGATGAAATGTGATTGTGAAAAACAATCAGAATCAGACAGTGTTCCATCATAATGATTCTGGAATAAATAATATATGTAGTTTTGACTCAATTCAACCTGAGCTAGTATATGAAACGGATCAAAAGATTTCCGGTAACTTACCCCGAGACTTTAACGCTGTCAGAACCTGTGATTTGACATCAAGCATATTCCTCGGAAAATATCAAAGAAAACTAATCTACTTGGGTTTTCAGCGCAGCTCCATAAAGCATGTCATCGCGGTGATACTATAACCAACACAGTGAGGGTAGGCAACGCTACGAGCGTGCAATATGAACCTGTAACATTACTCGAATACATACAACCTAACGTTACATAATGATAACACCAGTCACCATCTCACCCGCCACCCCACAGCGTCCCCGCCCTACTCACAAGGCAGCACCACTCACAACCCCGTCCTGACGTTATTTCTCTATCACTACACAGTATCAAAACTCCCATTGAAAACATGAAATATGAACCATCTTAGCGAGGTAGGGGACATCCAACACTGTAAATCGCTCGCCCATGTGGTGTTCTCCGTTAGGCCGCCATAGTCACTCATTTAGTGCACTTGTAATTTGTATTTGGTGGAGAATAACGAAATTGGCTGGTAAGCCTTGACACTTGGAGAGATAAGGTTTGACACTCACGTAGGAGGTAGGATCTCTTGATAAAAACTTTGAAGAAGGGAAATGTGTTTCTTATAAGGTCGGCTGAGGTTTATTTTAAAGTTCTGATTGAGCTAATTTCGTGAAGAATCACCCAACCCTGATCAGAAGGATACACATGTTACACAAGGAAAGGGAGACAATTTTCCCCTGAAAACAGTTTTCGGGGTCGATAAAAATACTTTTTTACTAACAATATCAAAGTTGATAGTATTGAAATAAGTAAATTAAACTTAATTAAGACTGTTATCAAATCAGTCATTGAGTTATATAAATTCAACCAAAAACTGATACCATAGATTTTAGTTTGCCTAGTAATACAAAAGTATATTGAAATCTATCGTTAACAAATTAATGAGCTATATTTAGGTTCTAATTTGGTTAATAGGTTTCCCGTTAATGAGATTGTACTTTTAGTTAAATACTGTAACTTGTCTGTTCAGTTTTAAATATTACGCAATGTTTTACCGCATTAACTGGTAAACACCGAAACTATTTTGAATCATAATGTATTCACTAAATATAATAAAACTAAATATAATTGATGTTTGATATCGTTTACATGTTCATTGTACCCTGTCATGTATAAACATAAGAGCACTTAGTCATGTATGTGAAACATGCAGCAAGATTGTATATTTTGTATACAACGTTAGATCAGCCAAAACATAGGCATCAACAATACAGGGTATTTTTTGTTTGACGTTATAGCTAAGTGTATCAACACAACATAAAACAGTCTGAAAAACAGGCTTCTGGTGTCTCCATAACTGTACAACATGGGTTTCCACTGAGTCCAATACTGCATGTGTGGATGCATTGCAATTCATATCATGAAGAGAATGGAATGAACAGTATAGACTGTTAGATGGAACACCCGTCTCGATGGTGTAGCGTATTACTTACCCCAAGATCCATGTTAACGCAAGGAGCCCGTGTTCCCGACTGATATCGACAGGCTAACCAAGGGAGTATATATACCCGACTGACGTAATTATACCTGTGCAATTATTGTACCATCAACTCAGGTAATTGCCTGGCAGGGTTATCAAACGATGCTTCGACAGGTTGCTGCTAGCTTCAGGAGTGTTAGGACGTGATTTAAAAGTAATTGACATCCCCTTTCTAAATACTTTCCCAATTACTTTGAAATTTAAATGATTGCTTGAACAGAGTCTTATTTGATTTTTTTTTTTAACGAATTCAATATATAATAATTTAAATTTACTTTTCAATCATTTTGATTTTCGCTTTTGTGATTATCAATAAGATTTCGGTATCAATTAAAATCAAGATTCTGCGCGTATCATCCACGTTTGAACATGTTTAAATAAATGCTGTGGAATCATTTGTTTGTTTCAAGCATGGATCGCTTAGAAACGACATTTCCGCCCCACTGCTAAAGCCACGCCTACTTAAAGTTAATTGGGCGATGCAGGCTCTGACTGAGTGCTGATTGGTTTGCGCTGTTTGAGGGCAGCTACCGACATCTTTATCGTCCTTGCTGCGAACAGCTGATGGAATGATAGCGGTCTTTCTACACAAATTCAAGTCTAATTAGTTTCATCGATAGATTTGATAAAGGTTCAATTTATCCCAAGGACACAGCGCACAAAAGGACGATGTGTTAAGTAAATAGAATAATATGCTCAGTTAATCGGCGGTAGTAAAACACCATTGATACACAGTAGGATGTGTTCACTATACTGAACATTATTTCATATTTGTAATTTCGGCGAATATACAGCATACATCTATTTACTACTTTAAATATTGTATTCACGAAGGAAATAGGGAAAATTAATTGATTGCAAAATATTTTTTGCTAAAAGATTATTGGTATTTCTAATTTAAAAAAGTGATATAACACGTTTAAAAATGGGACAGGTGTCGATAAGAGCCACGAATAGATAATAAAAAGTCTATGTATTTGTTTTTGTGGCATAAAACATGACATATTATAAAAAAAACCGGAGAGATTAGACGAGAGACATTATAAGGAAGGCCAGCCATGTTTAAAGGGTCACGAAACAGCTTACAAAACATTTCGGTAACAGATGTAATAATCTGTTGTCTGGCACTATGTAAGGACTTCATACAACAATGGCTATTTGTGAAAACACAGTGGGATGTGCATTTTCGAGTTTTGTTTGTTTTATGAGTATATTCCGAATATTTATTATTGTGTGGTGTTTCGACTGGCTAGCATTGTTCAAGAAGCTGGCGGTAACTCGTGAAATCGTTAGTTCATTGTTCGATAACACTGTAACGCCAAGATTATCCATGTCAACTATAATTTTCGTGTAATTGTCAATAAATCATCAAGGGATATTGTTGAAACATATTGACAAGCTTTGTGGTTTATGTCATAAATCACGCATTTATTGATATTAAAATTCTTGAAAACTGAATCCGGCATCATGATAAATATCAAAGTTTTATGACAGTTTGAGACAGGTATTAAACACAATATTTATTATGACAGGACATGCTATCAAACAAAACTGGGAAAATGATGCATGGACATGATAGGTGCATCAGACGAAATTTGAGATAGATATGTATATATTTAGATATATTTAAAGTTTATTGTTAAGGAAATAACAACGAACTGACTGTGTTAGGCTACTCCATCATCATTAATACAATTGCTTTGTTCTGACCTGCTTTTCGTGTCGTAAGTTTCTCACTTAAATGAGGACATTTGTTTTAATTTGTACGCCTTTCAGTATTGTTTGAATAATTTAAGAGCCCTTATACTGCTTCAGATCTGCATGTTAATTATATTTGGACACAACATATTGTATATTGATTTTATATATTTTGTAGTGAAAACAACAAATTACCTACAACTCTTAATTATAAGCTACTGTATGAACTTCTAGTGTACCAAATGCTACAATGGGGCGAGCTCTTTTACCCTCCCCCCCCCCAAAAAAAAATAAAATAAAATAAAATAAATAAATAAAAAAATAAAACCTTTATATAATAATATATATAAAATTGATGATATAATTGATATACCTCCACTTGGTATATTTCATATGAATCAATTTTAAATGAAAATTGTACCTCCAATCCCTTAACAATGAAAAGGGTAATTTTCACTCCTACTCTCTTTTCTCTCTCTCTCTCTCTCTCTCTCTCTCTCTCTCTCTCTCTCTCTCTCTCTCTCTCTCCTAATTAATAAGAAATTCATAACCCTCAACTCTAACAATGTTAATCAAAATGTATACCGAACTGCAAGAAAATGTAACAGCCTGTCTGGTTTAATAGCTGGCTGCTATCTTCTAACAGCTACCTGTACATCGTCCACTTGTGCATTGACAACTAACTGATTGATTAAATATCCGCCATGTTACCCCCAGCAGAGCTTGACAACGGGTACCCGGCCTTCTCAGCAGGAAGACAAATTCACCGTAACAGCTGGCTCTAATTTTATTTGAAAAATATTCGTCGTTTCAATGCATAATATTGTATTTTATCCACATGTCGAAGCAAATTAGCTATCTCCATTCCCGCATCACGCCCGTTCAACCATCAGAGAGAGCCACATCTGTACACGAATGTATGTCATGGTTACTGCAGGTATTGATCTAGTCTTCAACACCTGTCTGTCACAGTACAGTATCCCCATGAAAATCATTTTAAGTACAAAGGCAACTAGAACAAACAATAATGGACAAATATGCTGAAATTTAATTTCAATAATATGTCTGTATATCGCCACGTCATTGCGCGAACACAGATAATGTACTGATATGTCAGTGATCTGCGGACAAGGCAACATAACATATTATCATTATTGTAACTCAGATAAGGTTTAAAGTAAGTACAGTTGTCTCAAATTGGAAACTACCGATAATTTCTTGAAGGTGAATATATTCAAAGTGGAATTAATTTTTGATACCATTGTGTACCATTGTGTACTCTCTGAATGAAGAATAGAACGGACAGTTTCTGGTTTCGCCCAAAACTATAAATATTTCAGTATGTTCAAATTCCCTCATCGCTACTTCCATGAGAATATGAGAATTAATCTGTGATATGTGCCTGTGTAATTAATGTTATATGTCCCACCCTCTATAACTACGTGCAGGCCATGGGGCCGAAACGCTACATTCAGGGGATACAAATTTCTGAAGTGCAAACCACTCCCATTCTTGGTACTCTTCAAGTGTCGCATGTACAGTCCAAAACAGTAGTGATAGGTGCCACTAAGGTTGAATTAGATGGTCTAATATGCCGATACGTAGTCAGACACAAGGAATAAATGTTACTTGCTTAGCATGTAAGTTTGGGCCGGATTAAGTAGCTGGTTGACTACCCTTTCTGTAGTCAGATCCAAGCGTCTCATGTGCTGGTTGACTGGCATATATACAGTCAGATCCAAGTTTCTCATGTGCTGGTTGACTGGCATATACACAGTCAGATCCAAGTTTCTCATGTGCTGATTGACTGGCATATACACAGTCAGATCCAAGTTTCTCATGTGCTGGTTGACTGGCATATATACAGTCAGATCCAAGCGTCTCATGTGCTGATTGACTGGCATATATACAGTCAGATCCAAGCGTCTGATGAGCTGATTGACTGGCATATATACAGTCAGATCCAAGTTTCTCATGTGCTGGTTGACTGGCATATATACAGTCAGATCCAAGCGTCTCATGTGCTGGTTGACTGGCATATATACAGTCAGATCCAAGTTTCTCATGTGCTGATTGACTGGCATATACACGGTCAGATCCAAGTTTCTCATGAGCTGGTTGACTGGCATATATACAGTCAGATCCAAGCGTCTCATGTGCTGGTTGACTGGCATATACACAGTCAGATCCAAGTTTCTCATGTGCTGGTTGACTGACATATATACAGTCAGATCCAAGTTTCTCATGTGCTGGTTGACTGGCATATACACAGTCAGATCCAAGTTTCTCATGTGCTGGTTGAGTGGCAAATATCTAGTCAGATTCAAGGGTCTGATGAGCTAGTTGACTGGCAAACATGTAGCTAGATCCGTGTAATATGTGCTTGTTCACAAACACACACACACGCTACACACACATATACACACACACTTGTGTGGTAACCTCAATACAATTCTTGGAGGGCGGTGTGTGTGTGTGTGTGTGTGTGTGTGTGTGTGTGTGTGTGTGTGTGTGTGTGTGTGTGTGTGTGTGAGAGAGAGAGAGAGACAAGGCATTGGATATTGGAGATGGAGTTGGATCCATAAATATACCTTCTATACCACTTCTATATGGATAAATACAGGCACGTCATCCCACAATGAATCATTCCTGAATGTTATTTGCAGGCTACTGTATTCCTTTTTCTTAGATCTATCGTTGCATCATATGGTAAACATGTGTTCGATGTGATATCGACCACTTCAAACAATCACATTTCCCATCTCAAGTCATATATACCTTTCTCCAAGTTTAATAGTGATATCTTATATTAGCCATTTCCAATCACCCATGCCTTGTGGCACATATACCTCCCTTCGAGCATATTTACCACACGAGTATGTTTATAATGGTAAGTTTCCTGTATCAGGAATAAACATTGCACTTATTTAGTCTTGTCCAGCTACATTTCATATTTCTAATCAGGATATTTACCATCAGAAAACACGCAAGCTTGACAACCTATTTACCTTATAATGTCAGCGTCGAAAACCTATTGTCATCTGTCACAGTCAGAATCTACACACTGAACGTTTTCCTGGAACATTTAACATGTATTACGTGAAGTGACAACAGTGAAAATATGTTCCACCTGAAATATGTTTCTTTGACAGTGGCCTGATTACATATAAGTAAAATAATAGCTGCCTACAGATATTGTTTCTTGCCTTACGCGGCAATTCGGTGAGCCCGTTAGAGTAACCGCCCCTTATACAAGGGAGGCTATTCTAACTCTCGTATGTAAGACTTCAAGTTTGTTTCGAGGCTAG